CATTTCTTTTACTATTCTCTTACTGTATGGATCATATGGGAAGGAAAACAAAGAATAGAGTATAGAAAAAGTTAGAATGATTCTTTCCTAATCTAGCAGTTATCATTTTAACAAATCATTCCAAACCACAGATGAATCCGAGGCACCCAAGTCGTATTTAGATAATGAAATCTTTGCACGTCCAGGGATGAGCGGAGTTGGAGTATCAGGTCTGATCATGGGGACAGCAAAAAAAACAAGATAGTGCCACAGATTCCACTGGCCCAGTCCAAGGTTTAGGTTCACCTATTTTTGTGTCTAATATATAGTGGGCAGTGCACAGCTGCAGGTTGCAGACAAAAAACATTTTGTGAGGCTGTGAGGCTCTGCAGGCAGTTCAGTTGGTCCCCACCAGGGTATTTATTATAGGGCACTAGTATAGGCTCCTGTCCTGCAAAGGAATATAGACGAACACACCTCCCTTTCCTCCAATTTTAAAGGCCTTTAATACTATTGTTGTTGTATGAAATTTAGGAGTTCTCCAGCCAAAGGAGTTCTTCGGCATGACAAGCATTTGATCTAACATATGTAAGATCAAAATATGCAGGCAAAACAGCACAGATAAATTGCTTGAGACCCAGGGGTCTATGTGGTCTATCGTGCAAAGTTTCTGCTTATGTAACAATCAATGAAGAACGTACCTCTCCCAAACATATGTTTTCCAATGTATTGGACTATTCACAGTAATTTGTTATTGCTCTCTCCTCATATGTATACAAATGGAGGAAAGAAAATCTTTTTCTTTTCTTCAGTAGATCTCTGTTACCTTAGAGGTTGGCTTTACAGAAAGACTCCCACCCCCATAGCAGACCTTAGCTGGTTGACTTTCTAACCAATGCTGACAGATCTGCGCCATCAAATTAAAAGCAGAAGGCTAAACCTGTTGGTGCTCTCAATCCCTCACAACATCTCTCTGACAAAAGCTGGCATCTCCCAGAGCAGGGACATCTGGTTTGCTTGGGAGGGGGGACATCTGACAGATGGGCTGGTGTACCACTGGGGGCAAAACCAGCCTTAACTCCCACCGCCAGTGTTATAGAGCCCAAATGTGGAATGTGAGATTTCAAAACCCAAGGTTTCATCTGTGCAGTGTTGAGTTTTGCTTGTAGGTGAGATGCTGAGTCTTGCACAGACTCCAAAAGCGCCTCCTCTTCCAACGCGCCTCACTGCTCCTATCGCTACCCTGTATGGTCAGGGTGCACTCAAGTCCCAGGCACAAGGTAGAAAACTCTGCTAATTCTACCACAAAGCCAGGAGCTGCAGTGCTGGGTTGCAGAGTTGAGTGCAAACTCAGGAACACATACTTTGCTTTCACCGAGCTCAAACAGGCAGACTCTTCCAGAAAAGCTCCTGTAGATACTTCAAAAGCAAATCAAAAAATGTTTTCAAAGCACACCTGCAGTAGAAAGCCAGAGAGGCAGTTCCTGGGGAAAAATGGTGATTTTATAGCAAAACTCTTTATCTTGCAAATGAGACTATAAATCAACCCTTCACTGACTGGAGAGGGCAATCGCAGTCCAGTTCCACCAGTTTCACCAAGCATTTTGCATTATTTGGGGTGTTTGCTGCAGGTGTCACCCTGCCGTTGTCCTTTGCCAGTACTCCCATTTCTGGCAGTCTCCGCTGCGTTTCCAACAAGCAAGTTCTAACCCCTATGCACTCACAGCGAGGGCCCTCTCTGCCCTCATCTGTGTTATGTCTCCATACCAAAGGATAGAAAAGGAAACATGTTTAATTTAAGAAAAAAAAACACCTTACAACATCTAGGTATAAAATATGTAAGAGATCTGAGAACACTTTTTGCAGTCCAATCCACATCCAGGCAAGCGGTGCTGAATTAAAAGATCTGCCAAAATCCTCACGGACTCAGCTAAGAGCATTGGCTCCCATTCTGATGCCACAAACATCTTCACATCTTGCATTTGAAGCCATCCCTTACATAAGGCTTTTAAGGTACATTAGAATGTTCTTTAGAACCTTCCTTATTTAAATTGGAGGCAGAGAGGAAAAGTTGGCAGATGGGATATGATCCAGTTTTGCAAAACTACATTTGTTCCCCAATTCTTATTCTAAGGAGATGCTTTTTTTTTTCTTTCTTGATTTATTTTCTTTCTTATTGACTTCAAAGCCGAAGTCAATAACAAGCAGAATATTTTTCCTCCCATTTCTTGAGTCTCTGAACATCTTTGCCTATTCCACATGTTGTTTCCCTTAATTATGCAGCATTTTCATCATTGGTCTAGCCAATTTCATATGATTTATAAAGAATTCCATGTCCTCTTTACATCATTTGTCACTTACATTGCAAACTCCTCGAGGTGTCAGAAAACAAACTGTCTTCTACCTGAGAGGGGCTAACCTCTATAGATGGTCACTGCTAACACAGCCATCCAGCCCCTCGGCAGTTTTTGGATGGACCACATCTCCGCTCCGCAGTGCAGTCTCTGTTGCACTTGCTGACCTTCAGCAACCCCTCTGCAGAAGCTCCTCTGCTCCTCCAGGCCTCCTCCCACAGCCTAGATCTTCTGCTCTATGTTAATCTCAAGGCCAAGTTCTTTTGGAGAAACCCAGGGACTGACGCACAGAAATTTGTAACGTCTATTCTAGGCTATTGTAGACTCCCAAGTTCGTATACTTAGAGAAAATGTTCATTAGGCCATACTTACTTAATGCCACATGGCCACACTGCAGTATTTCCTAAACTAAGAGCAACGCAGAGGTGGGACTCGGGCCTAGCCCAACATAGAGAGGCCTGACATTGAGTTTGACTTGCCCAAAGGACACTACAGCACCTACGGCTCTGAGCTTATTTGCTTTTCCTCTGATCCCCTTCCTGGGATGGCACCTCCACGGCTGCTGTGCAGCCACCAGGCTTGGCCATGGGGTAGTTTGCTGCCACGCTTAATGTACAATCATGTGGAAATTTTTAACTTGGTGACTGTGAACAAATGTGATGCTTTTCTAAAATCATTTTAAAGCAATTTCATGGGTGAAAATGAGGAAAACATATCTGCTTACAAATATTTGTTACAATCTCTACTGACGTATTTTCCTTCTGTTTTCTTGTCCAGATAAAAATTGACAACTTTTATGAAGCCAAACACTAAGCTCTATGGGTGAGAATAAGTTTCACTCAACATGCTTTAGTTCACCCTGAACTTCTTAAAGAACCTTCTTAAAGAATTAAAGATTCCTTCTTAAAGAACCGTGGTTACACCATTACTGTAACTTGTGCTTCGCACCGCCAGCCTATTCCCCCAATTCTCAGGTCCCAGTAACGCCAAATCTCAATGCAAAGATACTGCTTTCCACATACCTGTAAAACGGCAAGAACTGAACAGCTCCCATGGACCAAGGGAGCAGCACCTGGCGGGAAGGGCTCCGCGGGCAACACCTGCCTTCTCCTTCACGCTCCAAGGAGGCAGCGCGTGCATCTGCTTGATGTGAAGTCTCCAGTGAAGGCGACTGAAGTTCATGGAGGGGGAATGTAGGGAGGAAGGGGCCAGGCTCTTCTCATTGGTGGTCAGTGACAGGACAAGGGGCAATGGTATAAGTTGAAACACAGGCAGTTCCATCTCCGTGTGAGGAGGAACTTCTTCACTGTGAGGGTGACAGCGCCCTGGCACAGGCTGCCCAGGGAGGCTGTGGAGTCTCCTTCTCTGGAGATCTTCCCAACCCACTTGGATGCCGCCCTGTGCCCCGTGCTCTGGGTGTCCCTGCTGGAGCAGGGGGTTGGACTGGATGATCTCCAGAGGTCCCTTCCAACCCCAACCATTCTGGGATTGTGTGACCGGCTGCCTGCCCCTCAGGATACAAAATGGTTAACAGCACAGGAGGACACAGCAGAGCAGGCAGGGCTCGTGCAACACTTTATTACATTGCTGAGGTCTGGGAATCAGTTCCAGTAACAGCCTCTTTCCTTTAACTCAAGCTGAGGAGGTCAAGGGCACAATGTTACTGCAAGGTCACTGTCCCAGAGCGGGAAAACACCCAAACCCTCTCACTGCTGCCCCTGTCCCACTGAAATGGCAGTAGAAGCTGTGAGGGTAACACAGTCACACGCAGGTGCTGCTCAGGCCCGGCTGTACTTGCAGCTCCCACTATTTCCCAATGCTCAGGAACAGTCTTAAAGTTTTAAGTGCGACGTTGCCGTCAGATTAAGACTTGAGATTAAAGGAAGGGGCAGAGACCCTCCCGCCAGAGCACAGGGCGCGGAGCCCACCGCACGACTAGGACAACGGCTCCGCGCCCTGAGGCCACGCAAGTCACCACAACCCTTGTGGGGGAGGAAGCTCATCCATAAAAGCCTCTTCTGTTCACACTATCTGCTTGTATTTAAGATATTAGAAGAAACACCGGCGTTTGAACTTAAATTATGAACTTAACTTTCAAAATCAATCTGCTGCTGTCGCACCTTACCGGTGTCAACGATGCGGCTACGTAAGCAGCACAGCCAAATCAGCCTCTGCACTACAACTGCCAGCAGTGATTCCCAGAGCAAATACAGGGCTGAGTAGATAGAAATTATACTTCATCCAAGTACTTAAAGTACTGAAGCACTTTAAGCTGGAATCTACAAGTAGGGAGGGACAGAAATTTTGGAGTGAAGCAAATATATCGCGTAGGCAAGATAAGTGTTTAAATCCAAATTCTGGAAGTCATTTGGCTTGACTGTAAAGTTTTTTCAGAACTGAACATGAAAAAAAGAAGTACACATATAAAAAAATATGAAAACAAATTCAGGTTTACCATAACCACAAATTACAGAACGCCTAACGTAAGAAGCACATTTTCAAAACTCAGAGACAAAAACGCACAATTTGAAAGAGCTTTGCCGTTCTTCCCTACTGATCTGTTCCTCCTAAGACACCTGCTCAGCTCAACTTGCCTCCTCGAGTGTAACTGGCGCCAAGATGAGCAGCGGACACAGCGCTGCAGCACCCCCGGGACGCCGGCGCTTCCCAGCCCTGCTCTGCTTAACTGGCGGGAACTGGAATGCTGGAGCAGCAGCAAAACTTGACACCTTGCCCGTAACAAAGGTTTGGTTTAACAGGAAGTGTCAGAGATCTCAACAATCATTTCAAAGCATTTGAAAACTAAATTAACAAGAGTGCTTTCTGTGAGGCATGTTTTTAATTTTTTTAAGTGTTCTTACAAGTTTGTGTGTTTCAATATTCCCTTGTATCAGCACTTAGTTCCCACATACAAATCCCCTCAAGCAATATAGCTTTCTGAAAGATAGACTCTTCCATCCTAATCACATTTTCAATAAACTCTGTAAAAGAGTCAATGAGTAGATTATGATAAAGTGCATATATTCCATTTTGATATGGGCAAAGTAGTCAGGGACTGAAAAATATTCATATGGTAAACTGAAAACCACTGTGGTTATTTAGCATCCCACAATTAAGCTGTCCCACCAAACAGTGCCCAAAAATAATTTTTCAAGTTTCTTGTTAGCTTAAAAAAAAAGGAACTTAAAGCATACTAAAAATAATGGTTTCTTTTTAATTAGACTCTGAGAATCATGAATTTTATGTAATCTTTGAGAACTGCAGCTCCCTCAAGGCTAGCACACTGCCTGGATGACTTGCAAGCATTTTACCCTTTGGATCCAGGCTTCAAGCTGGCAAAAGCTTTGGAGTTCTTTAGGGAATGTGAGATTTCATTGAGAAAAGAAATGAAATGAGAGTCCCTCTCTGACTTCTTAGACTCAAAAATAACTACAATGGTAAAGTGAGGTTCCGGGCGAGTTAGAAAGTAGGTGCTTTGGACTTTGTCATCATAGAAGTGAACAACCTTCTCCAGGCTGTTGAGGTCAGAGGTTCTGTCAGTCATGATCATGATGACATTGGGCCAGTGCATAACAGGCCTGTCGTTGGGCAGAGACACCACGGCAGGGTACTGATCCACTCCTTTGGGAGCCTCCCGGTAGGAATGGGGGTGGTGATACCCGTGGCCCTGGAAACTCTCCGACCCGCGATTGTCAAAGATGAGGGAAACGTTGACAGCGTCGTATTTCCGGATGAAACTAGAGATTTTCCCAAAGTAGTCAGGGTTTGTTTTGGCAGTCAAGGTTTTCATTTCGGACGCGGTTGTTTGGCGGCTGAGGGCCTCGTGAAAGTAAAAGCTGAACTTGGCAAGGAGAATGTTCTTGAGTTTCATGAGCCAGAGGAAGAGGTGCGGGGGCTGCACCGCCTTCTGGGACTGCCCTCCAAACAGATGCTTCTTGGTCTCCCGCTGCTTCTCAAAAATCTGGCCCCAAGTCTGTAGCTTCGTGTGAGCACTGTGCAAGTTGACCAGGGATGGAAGGAACTTCCACTCCGAGATCTGAGCCTGAGCCTTCAGGAGGTGCGCGAGCACATCCACCTCCAGGTGGAAACTGCTCTCCAGGGGACTGAGGATTGGGTGGTGAAACCTAGAAAACACAACAGTATTCAAAACATAAGGGCAGTTGTACCCACTAGAGAAGTAATCAATTCCCACTAGAGAAGGACATCAATTTACAGACAAAAAAAGCAGACTAAAGTATAAATCAAATAATAATCTTGTCAGTTTAAAGACAAATTGTTTTATTGTGATTTTGCCATAAGCATAATGTAGAGCATTCTTTGTATCTGACAAAAAACACCTGTCACTCACTTTGAAATCAAAACAAGTGAGTCATATTTAATCAATCAAAAATCATTCACTGGTTATTAAGACCCGTGGAATAACAAAGCTCTGTTTCTCTTTAAATGTGGATGTTTTTGTTTCAGTTTCACATTTCTTTTATGCTTTGATGGTGTTGGAATAGTAGTAAGACATTAAGTCAAACCAAGGAAATTATCTGACATTATCAGTTTAGTGGCTACGTAGAAAAGCTATGAGGAAGCCAAGCTGAGCTGTTCTTCTGTCCAACTTACCATTTTTAATTGACAATGAATGAAATAATGATAGAAAATTAGAGAAACCCACACTAGCTGTATTTACCAGTGAACCAGCTCTCAAACTTTAAGCCTGTGTTTACTAAAAGCACTGAAGGGAAAAAAATCAAGCAGAATTTCATCATATGACAATGAAAATGCTGCACTGAGCAATTTTTCTCTCACTAAGAATTCATGACAAGATCTGCTCTCAATTTGTTTGACAGGTGCTAAAAAGATGAAAAATGCATCTCATCTACAAGGCTTAAGTGCCACTACACGAGGTTAAAACAGACCTTGATGAAATGGAATTTTATAGATCTGTTTTGTAGCTTTCTCTTTACTCAGAAAACTCATATTTCAGGATTCTCCTTATGGAAAACAAACAAGGAGGTTTAAAAAAAAAAAAAAAAGAAGTTTCACATCCTTGTGCTTGTAGCCTGTATGGAATGAAATGCCTTTACCAAGGAACAAAAAAATTATATTTTGAACTTCCCAATGGCATCAGTAGACGCTCCTAAATTACAGGCAGCTCTTTCAAGATTAGATACTGCCTCGTGTACAGAATTCAGAGGGTAAAGTTGGCTCCTTACCAAGAAAGGACAATGCTTGTCACTTACTATGTAAGACGATGGAAAAAAAAGAAATAGCACAGTGCTTAAATGCCGTTTTCCTGTCTCCAGGCTCAGCGTTCATGCTCTTGGCAAGGAAATGATGCCCTGCACGGGCTGCCATGAACCTCCCCAGTCTGCCTCCCATACCCCACGGAAGGGGCTGCCAGTGTTCGCAGGCTTTGCTGAGAGGCACTCCAAGCATTCCCATAACAGGCATTTAGGAATTTTAAAGTTACTCCCAAGGAAGAACAACCAATAGCTCCGAGGTGGGACGCGATGACGCTCCTACTCAAGGAGGGCTCTCCCTTCAGAAGGAGTCTTAATCTGAGTCTGGGTGTTACCTTAAAACATAGAACTCACACTCAAGTCCCCCAACTTCTAACAGTTCATCCTTGGACAGAGTGAAAACCGCTCCGTCACCTCCCAAAACATAATAGACACAATCGGTGTGGGAAATACTTGGTTCACAACCAAAGCACTTAATTTTGTCACACTCCAAAAGGCTTTTTCTCCTCTTCACTATTTTGTCCTTGACTTCCCACTAAACTCTTCACAAATCGTTATTTCTTGGCTTGTGAAAGCTGACAACTGAAACTCTATTTTTTAATCCTTTTTTTTTTTTTTTTTTTTTTTTTTCCCCCCTAACAGCCACAATATGTGTTTGAAAGGATGTGCTCTTAAGATTCCCATCTGCATTTTTTGGAAAGCAAATGGAATAATGAATTGACATATCAGTTGCAGAACTATGTTCTGCAAACCATGTCGGTTAGGGGAGCCGTCACCTTCTGCACTCTATGCTCTGTCAGGAAGGACCAAGCCTTCCTTCTACAGCACCGCATGCAATGACTACGGGCTACTTTGCGGGGTTGAGAAGTCAAGAGCACGTCTGAATCGCTAAACATCAACAAAAAAAAAAATCAATTAAAACTAACATTCTGCTAATACTCAACATTTTTTGCTACCCAAAAGAAAAATCGTTTTGTTGCCCTATGTGAGAGGAAGGGAGAAAAGCCCCGTGCAACACTGTTTTTTCCAGACATGAAACATCCACTTCGTGCCATGCGAGTTTGCACTGGCTTGCAGTGACACTGAGCTAAGGTCATTCTTCAGCCTTAAAAGCAACTAAAATATTCATACTAATGCAGCAGTGCGAAGCCTCCTGTATCACCCCATGCTGCACAGCTTCCCGCCTGGCTTCACAGCTCAGTTATTTTCATGTTTCCCTGCAGAGCACCATTTGCTAAACTGTTTTAATCCAAAAACGCACACCCCAGTCACAGCTCCGAAGCTGGATATGGCTGCAGAATAAACTAGCAGGTTATGTACCACGGATATCTGTTTTAATTAACTGCCACGACGCAGAGGTGTTTGACTAAGCTCAGTATCACCCAAGACAGATAGGTTCTTGAAATATTTCAGTAAGCAACTGAGAACACACTGGAAAATTGGTTTTTTTTTGTTCCCTAATCATTTTCCAAAGCAGCAATGCTTGAGTTGCTTTGCAGACTTTACAGAAGCCTCATTGTCTTACAGCTTTTTCTATTCTTCTATAAATCAGAATTTTACAAAATGCTCACGAGAGCATTTAACACACACACAAAACTTACTAGTTATTTTTTCACTTAAAAAAAAGCTTCAAAACAGTATCTGCATTAGCAGCAGGATTTTTTTTTTCATTCAACGTCTCAGAAACAACCAAAAATTCAGTTGCTTCCCCAGTTACCTCTTGTAAACAGAGGAAACAATGCTGACTTGTAAACAGCTGGTGCTAGGCAATAAATAGCAACAAAGCAGCTTTTCACTGTCCAAGACATCTGCTTTTTCAGACAGGGCAGTATGATTCGGTCACTGACAGACACGTAGCTCTTTCTTTACCAATAACCAGGTATCTGCTCTGCATGATCTGAACAGTTATTTGCATAGGTAAAGGAAGAAATCACGGCCAGCACCTATCTAGAGAGCATATGTCTTGTCTGGCCTTAGAGCTGTTGATGGAATTAATAGTACACATCCAAACTACCAGCGAGGAACACATTGCCAAGAACTGCCAGGCTAAGGGCGAGCTTGCTTGACCTTTCACTTGAAATGGTCCACAGACTGATAATAATGACAAATCCTCAGCCAGCACATTTTGACATAGCTGTAAGAAACAGGTGTAGTAAAGGAAGACACCATTATCCCTACTTTTAGAAACATTCTGTATGTTACAGGGTAAGGGCACACAGAACCTAATGAATTAGCTTTAAGAGCATCTTAAGATGTCTCCATCTTAGAGATGGTCAATAACTCAAAGCAGGCCTATCACTATTTTCCCTGGGAGACACTGACGTGTGTGTGTGTGTGTGTTTGCACACACATGAGATTATAATGGTGCTTTAGAGGAACAGACATTCACACTGACATTTTTCACACACCACAATACAGCACTTCAAATATAATAGTCTCCAGTCACTTTGTTAAAGTATCAATTTTGTTTTTCAGATTTAACATTGCTGTTGATTCATCACTTGCACAGAACATATGTCAGAAAGTGTAAAATGTAAATCAATTTGAAAGATTTTCTTCCCTTTACTCTTTAATAAGTGTTTATCATAACAAGGAAAATATATTATTTCATTTTGCATTGGACAAATAACCTTGACATTGGCAGGGTTGACAGATCAAGAATTGTCAAAAAGTCACTAATGTGATATTTAGACTTATTTACACTTATTTTGACTTCATAATAGCACATTATGTAGCACTTCGCCTAAGCTCTTTCTAAAATAGCTTCTAAAAATAGGCAAGTCAGCTGCAGTGCTTAAAACATCGAATGTCAGAAAGCAGCACTGAATAATTTTGATTTTTCCTATGCGTGCACTTCAAAAATCTAGCTTAATATTCATGGAAAAGAAAGCCTCAGAACACTCCTTACAAATGTCTTCCTCACCACTATTTTGCTAATAAAGGTTGCGGAAGTGAGGGTAGGAAGAAAAAGGGGGAAAAAAAAATCAAGTTGCCTTTGAAGGTTATCTTCCTATAGAAGTTACCTCATTTTGCTTTCAAAACAAGCAGCTGAAATTTTGGTTTGTTGAAGAGTCATCCTTAAAATTTATTTCAAAACTATTTGCTTGTCTAAACTACCATCACTTGTCAGGTTCCCATGTTTTGTTAGCAAAATATCCCCATCCCCACATCACTTAGAATCATGCTAGAATTCTTGTAATGTAACTATCAGACCTGAACTTCAAGAAATTATAAATGGAGAAAACAGACTGAGAGGTGCTCATTCTGGCCACCGCAATACTCTCCACTTATTTCAGAGTGCCCCATAAAGTCCTTCTAAGTGTCCGAAACAGAAGGTATCAACAAACAAACAAGTGCAATGAGTTTGATGACCACCTAAAGACAGGCTTATATTGAGTCTGTTGTGTAGCTTTTATAATTAAAGAAGCAGAGTCTAAAATGGTCACATATGTCTATACCCATCTTTACTGAAGCCCACATGAATTTAAGTCTTGCTTCCCTTCATGAGGGATGCCTCATGAAACTGTGCAAGAATTCTTCCATCTTTTAAAAGGAAAATGATCTTTCCCTCTTTGTTGAATATTTACAGTAAAATAAAGAATGGGAAAGGTAGCTCCTACATCATGTCGAGTACAAAGTCTCTCTTTTTTTGCAGAAAAATCCTATTTTGAGACCCACAGTATTTGATGCTGCATACATCATGCAGCACCAGCATACATAAATTGAGGCAATGGGCTGCACTGTTTACAAAGGAAGACAAAGTCACTGGGCTTGCTTTGAACTCAACCTCATTTATTGCAGGTCATCACATACCTGCCTACTTACCACCTACAAACACCCACTGACCTGGAGCTGTATTTCTTTAAGATGGACTCCAAAATGTTTACGAGTTCCTCAGAGTTAATGAACTTTTGGGTGCTGAGCGTGTACATTTTTTCATAGAAGTCAGCAATTTCCATCCGAGCCTGAACAAAAAAACAGAGCTGTTCAGACAGGTGAGAAAGCAGCTCTTCCAAGTGAGGAGCTGTTCCTCCTAGTGCATTGCGCCCCGTCGCCACCACCTTCTTCAGCTCGTTATGCAGCGACGTGTAGATGGTTCGGATGGAGTCCTTTCGGCTGAAGAATGACTGACCACCTGTTCAGATAAATACGGAGCTATTACCAAAATCCGAGGGCAGCAAAGACAGACAGCAAGACTAGGAAACTGGGTGTCACTGGGCTTGCTTTTAGCGGGGTATCACTGGGCTTGCTTTTAGCTGGGTATCACTGGGCTTGCTTTTAGCTGGGTATCACTGGGCTTGCTTTTAGCTGGGT